GGGCGCGGAGTGAGGCATAAACTGTACCTGGACACCCAGACAACGCGCACGTAGGAAGTAAAGACATGGGGAGGGCAGCTATTAGGTGTTTAGTGTAGATGTATTAAGGCATGAAGATGTAACAATGTAAGTCCTCGTGTCACCTTCAATTCTGCTAGCTGGTGGTCACTCAGCTCCCCCATTTGCAGGACAGTCGGTTGCTGCTTGTGCAACGGCGACAGTTGCTGCTTCAACTGGCTCTGCCGACCAGAGTGGCCTCCCGGGCCAACTGATGTGCTGCTCGACGGACACATTGTCTGGGCAACATGTGCCAACTTTTGCAAAAGTTGCTCAGTATCCTTAAGTGCTGTGGTCAATTCATTCTTGGGCTTCAGTCCTGCAAGTCGGCGCAACTGGTCGACCAGCCCTCGTGCCGTCTCCAAACAACTAGTGGAAGCGATTTTAACAGGACCCGCCGGTGTTCCGCCACCTTCGGCACAGACAGTCGGGCTACTGGACGACGTCGCCGGACTCCGTGGTGATGCAACACAAACCGACAAGAGGTCATTGTAGGCCTTCTGTTAGGATAAGAGAAGGAAACGAGAAAAATGGAATAACAGAGGATGAAAGAAAGGATAAGAGAAAGTGATTATGTGTTTGGACTGAGTCATTAAGCCATTCGTGTCATGACAAGGTGCTTGGCCCAAAACGAAGTCGCCTCAAGTGCGAGCAGTCGAAAATTCAATAGAATTCTGTAGTTTTCACGGTTAAGCATTCAGCCGAATCGCGACTGGCAGAGTCCATACACTCTCAAGAATGAAATCTCACTCAATTTAAGCAAACTGAATTTCACTACAGAGCACTTGATGAAGCCGCTCCAAAATAGGGTGCCTTAAATTACGTGGCCCTGAGCAAGAAAAAAATCTTTGTTTCGATGTGACACTGCCTCATCTAGTTTCGTATTTGACTTAAAATGACAGCGCTTATGATGAGTTAAAGATAAAGCTTGAATTTCGCATTAAATTGCTCTTCACCTAAGACGTTTGACATAAATATCTATATGCTACTGGTTTTATAGGTAGTAGTGCTTTTACTTCTACAGCTGACAAGAGATCGAGTGTTATCGAAGGTCAATAATTTCTAGAGATTTCTTATTGGACGATTAGAAGACCCGTTCAAAAAGCAATCATTCAAAACGGATATACCCGTCAGCCGCAAATGTAAAGCCATTAACAACTACAAAATCAGTAGTGTTGCTCGATTTATGACCAACTATAGGCTGTTTAATAAGACTAACTCTCAAAATCCTAAGCTTGATTCACCTCGTGATTCAGGCTTTTGTGTAAAATAGTCCGGATAGGGTAGTGCGTTTTAGGACATAAAATATGTTTTTATCATAACTTGAGTCTCCATGGTTAAAAGGCTTTCAGGCTTGTGAACGAGCCAATAGTAAGATCGAGAGTGAAATCTGCCTGGAATGGGAATAAGCTTTTGAGATGAGTGGCGAAGTGAAATTTATGGAAAAGCTCAAGACACTTCTTCGATTAATTGCTTGCAGAGGCTCCATCATTTTAATAAGGAGCCAATTGTAACTAGTAAAACCCGACAGCAATCCGGTTTCTAATGGGTAAAAAACAAAATGGCATGTACTTTGCTAAATATGCAATCGAAGAATAGGGAAAATTTTCGGAAAATAGCCTTTGGTTGAGTCACATATCTGGATAGGGATTTAAAGTGATCACAAGTGAGTGGGGAGAATAGCAATTGAGTTCTCCCTCGATTCCACTAAACTTAGGGCCCTAGAGCAGATATGAGTCGTCGACTAATTGGCTGGGGTCCGTCCACAAAACTATGAGAAATGCCAGATCCTCAAGCCTAGAGCACGAGAGTTCGCGCGAAGGAGAGTCTGCAGGTTCCAATCAACAGGCAATATTATCGCGCCTTGCTGGCTTGTGAGCAGTTTTGAGTCTTCAAAGAATCAACGCTTTAGAGAGAAACCGCGTATTTACAAAGCCGATTTTGTCTCACAATGAGCAGAACTAGCTGAAGTATTCATTTTGAGTCTCTGACTAATAAACATAATAGATCGTCTGTTTTATAATTATATTATGCAGTTTGCCCTTAACCTACTTTGCTATACGACCCTAAAATGTCTGGGCGTATTCGCAATTATTTGTGAAGGTATCTAAAAATGCTTTCTAATCAGGCTGGATTGCAAGTTCGACACCTACGTTGGCATTGGAAACCGAGCCGTGCGTGTCAAGCGGCAACTTTACGATTCCATCACACAGTCCATCCAGGAGACACAGTAAAGATGTGATTCTCATGGGCAAGCTGGATCTCTCTCAATTTAAGTGTTATATTCAAGCCGTTTTCAACATGATCAAGTTGTATTCTCCAGTAACCTTGACGACATTATTAACTACCAAGTGAGCAGGCAACATGTTGTCAGACGAAGCCTATTCGGACGAAGACGAAGTATACAGAGGCCGAAATACTATTTGTTTTATCTACCCAAAGATAGAATAAACTGGGAAAATATGCTAAACACGACAGTTTTCCGACCGGCCGAATTGTTTGTCTCTAGGGCCGGAATGGTACCGATTCGCCACACTAGTCATGGACAGCGCAGAGGCAGATACCATCTCAAGCGTGTACAAGCAAGGGTTGCACAAACTAGCCGTTTTTATGTCTTACTTTATGGCCAAGGTCAAACAACTTGAAGGACCTGCTTGTTCGTTCTTGCGGTATAAAACTGCTGGCATGGTGGAGTGTGCATTGCTCACCTGTAACATGCTTCTGCGAGAAACAGGGCAATTCGTGGTGTCCAGGTAATCGGAGACCTCCTCGATGGTAGCCATAGTGCGTCGGATGGGCAGCAATACCTGCTGTAGGTGCTGGCACAGCGTAATGGATTGTGACAGGTTTTCTAGACTCTGCTTCACCTAAAATGAGGCAAAATGATCGAAATGCAAGCCACATTAACGAGGCTTTTGGCCAGCCGCCGCAAGGCAGAGACACGGAGAACCAGAAGAAGTCTGCCTGGCAGAGGGAAGATGATGTGTCTAAGACGTAAATCTGGTTCAATGTGGCCTCGAAAGGCCCTTTTTGAGTGTTCGTGAGGAATAAACACAATTTTATGAGTGGAGTGCCGGTTGAAACAACTGAACAGAAGAAGAAAGGAATTCGGCGAATAAAAAATAGACTAAGAAAGAAGCCTTTTAGTGAAGCCATGCAGATGGTCAAGCACACTCGATAACTTAGACTGTGATAAAATACAGGCCGGAGTTTGGGGCTGTTCAATGACCAAATGATGCAGTAACTTGAGCCTGAGCCTATCGCTGAATGTGAACTTCTGCAGCAGGAAATTAACATGAAGATTTATCAAGAGTATTCTAGCCATGTTGGCCTCGTGGCAGTTTCCTTTAGCTGTATGGTGCTGGTTATAGACATAGGTCACCAGTGTGCGTGCGTGTATGCCTGTGGGCATTTTTCGTGCGTGTGCTCTAATGGGAGGTGACTGGTGACATGCTTGACCACGGGGGATACCGGCCAACACACATATGAACATCCTAGCACCTCAAGATTAGATGGGAGTGTCAACTTGAGGGACGGGGCGAATCAGGGTGAAAAAAGGGAAGCGGTGCATTTTCACACCAGTGGTTATAACTTAAGCCGGACACAGAGCCCCAAATAATGAGACATAATGTGGGTGGAGATAAGAGAGAGGATAACTGTGTCATGAGTTTGAAGCCTAGAGAGAGGAAGATTCCCAAGCATTGGCATGGACATGAACATGGGAATCATCTGCTCTAAATCCTCGAATATGGCGTAATCGGAGAGGGAAATTAAGGGCTCTTAGGCAGCCAGAATTCAGACAGTCAACCAGTGATTTTGATGCGTAACAGCGACAAATTGACAAGCGGGGTAGGAAAAGGGGGATGAATGGAGGTGAAGAGCCTTGCAAAAGGTACTTGATACCGGCGGTGAAGATGAATACTCTTTCATAAACCCACTTGTAGCGACACTCGCTTAGGCGACAGTGGAGGAAACGAGAGCACAGAATTGTGTAAATAGGTAGATGGGTCATATTGAGTGGGACTGAGAGAAAGAGATGTAGTATTAGAAGGTAGAACAAAAAATAGGGGTGATAAATGGTGCCACAACGGTTGAAAATAAAATTGGTCAAGAGATTGCATTCACTAGTCACTTTGATAAATTGTACTTCTGTGTTAACAATGGTCCCTCTCATTGACGATGCAAGGGAAACGTTTGGGAATGTACCAAGTCGATGGTCCGAGGCCTGCCATCACGAATACTATGGCAAGGGATATAGGACTGGGTACGTTGCACAAAGTCTCCCTGACGCTCTAACCAAATTTCGCAAACAAGGTCGAACCAGCACTATAAATAAATTAGTTTATTGTAAAGGCAAAATTAAAGTTTGTATCATCGGCAATTACACTATAAATGGGATATATGATATATGCGTTGGGACCTAATGGCACTGTAGCAATGTGATGCAGTGGTAACATGTCGAGTTCGATTGCAGTTGAGGTTGCAGATGGGGCCAAGGCAAGGTAGAAACTGGATTAAAATACCTTTTGGGAAACAAGGTTAAGTGAACTTCACTGCTCATCGCAATGTGGAAAAGTTAACAATCAACAGCAAATTTTTTTTACCTTTCGAGGATGAACAAAGTAAAGAGTTTGCTCTTGAAAGTGTTGACTGATCAAATATCCCAAAGTCTGCCATGTAAGTGTCCTAAAATAACTCAGATAAATCGTAAATGTGAAGGCGATTGTCTCGAAGCCTCATTCAAAGCTTTCAAAAGCTAGATAGAAAAGGGCTTCTCTGGGAAAAGCGTAGCCGACTAAAAAGGGCCCACCGGCAAAAATGCCATGCGGCTTTTAAAAGCATCAGAAAATTCTGCGAATAAGTTAACCAAAACTCCGTTAGCAGTCAGAGAACGCTAAAAGTCTAATAAACTCATAGTTAAGTTGAATGAATACGAAAAGGGTTTCAGCTTAAAGCCACTTGCAAAAAGGAACAGGGACCGAGTATGTGAAGAGCCATGGTCTTGGGGAGTTTGAGACAGTTGGTCTCCTGTTATCCGCATTAAAAATTGATTTGGTACCCTCTGAATAGAGAAATGGAAAATATTTGCTCAGCACAAGCAGAAGATAGGGCGTTCACGACTGGCCTCCAACGGGTGTCATGGTCCAATCCTCTCCAGCAGCTAATACGATATCGGATGCATTAGAGGGATTGGCGTCACAGGCTATGCTCTGGCTCAACCGTATAGACGTTTAGATTCAATCTGATTAGGTAGCTATGCCTTGCAGACTCTCAGGCTTTCTGAAAGAGTTTTGAAGTCGGCTTTCAAAGCTACCAGTATAACTTGAATACTAAGTGTCTTTATCCCATATCGTTGAGGTATTGAATGACAGGTAGTTGAATCTTTTTGCAATGATATGAGTAGGCCTCACATTTCCATTAAATGTTACGTATTCTTGTTTCCCAAAAGGTATTCTCACTCGTGGTGAACTGCAGTTTCAACCTCGTCCAGGTCTCGTCAACTTCTTCGGCGGGACTTGAACCGTGATAGTGCAGCATATAATCTAGCCATTTAATATAACGTTAACCACTACTCCACTTGACCACGAGTGCTCGTGGGTCACAGGACAGATGTGAATTTCAAGGAAGGCCAAACATTTTCATCTATTACCTTCTGTGGCGGGATTGTCGACTAAACAAAGCTATATTGGCCAGTATAATCAACTAGATTACTTATTTTCGTTTGTAAGTAGGCTTTCGAGACTAACAGCCGATGAGACCCAGGCGAGGATGAAACCGCAGGCTAATTTTGATTAGGATATCTTTTGGGAGGCAAGGGTATGCAAAATTCAATGGAAACTTGAGGCCTAACTAATCACATCATTGTGAGAAAAATCACTACGAGTCCTTCGTTACTTTAAACGAAATAAGGGGAATACGTTTCTCATTCAACAGCTACTAGGGGTCTCGAAATTAAAAACGTAAATAGTTTACGCCGTTTGCTATTGTACATATAACTTTGCTTTGTCGACAATCTCACAACAGAACTGTGATATACAA